TGTCGAGCCTAAGTGTATACATCTGCAAAATGGGTTCAAGGATACTTCAATGGCCTGACTACAAAGGTGACCTAGTTAACATCATGTAAGACAGATGGGGGTGTAGATGGGGGTCCATTTGATAGATTGCTTGCCCAGCGTGCATGAAGCTAAGCTGTAGGGTCCATCTTCAGCCTTTCAGAAACCTTAAAACTGGATGTGGTGTTTCAAGCATTTTCTAGCACCAGAGAGCCGGAAGCTGGAGCTCAGAGTTTAAGGTCATCTGGACTCAGGGTTGGAGGGCAGGGCAGTCTGGGATACTCACCCAGCCTGAGGAGAAAGTGGAATGGGATGGTCTATTGGTGGTTTCCAGAGTGGGCGAGGTGGGAAGGCAGAACGGAGACGGAGACTTCAGGATACTGAGACTTCACTGGGAGCGTTTGCACCCTGGTTGGACCTTTTGGTGATGGTGGCACACACCTCTAATCCCAGCACTCTAAAGCTAGAGGCAGTTGCCTCTCTGAGTTCAAGGCCAGTGTGGTGGTCTACAGTTTTCTATCCCAGGCCCTCAGACCCTGTCTAGGAGGCATAAGTTTTACTTCTCTGTAGACATTTATGTCTTGACACAACACACCCTGCCCAGCCTATTTCCTCCCTTTCAAAAAATTTTCTTTCTCTATAAAAAATTCTTGGGCAAAGCCTGAAGTGCTGAAAGATTCTTCTAACCCTGGTTGAGGCAGAGACTTGAGTCTGAGGCTCCCTGGACTGTGGTGAATTCAGGACCAGTATGACCTAGGCTGTTCAAACAGGAAAAGGTCTGCGAAGCCTAGTGCAGCAGGCGTGGTGGGGCACCCTTCAGTCCCTCAGGAGGCAGAGGCAGGCAGACCTGAGTTCAAGGCCAGCCTGGTCTTGTACAGAGCGAGTTCCAGGACAGCCAGGCTACACAGAGAAACCCTGTCTCAGAAAACCAAAACCAAACAACAAGGAAAACTCTTGTGCAGTTCTCCTAGAGGAGACAAAGTTTATATTTTTCTCTCAGGTGAGGGCACTCAATAGCACCATGAGCGGCACTGAAGAGTGAGTCTTCTGTAATTTTTCTGGTTTACTTCTCGTCTGTGTAACTGAAAACTTGTAGACCAAGATCTGTCGCAGAGGAGCCGCCAGGGAAGCCTTCCATTTTCATGCATGGCTGCCTACCTCCCTGTACCTACCTGTTCCTCTCAGGGGAATTTAAAAAACATTTTTTAAAAATTTAATTTATTTAATTTTGTTTGTTTTTTGTTTTTTCGAGACAGGGTTTCTCTTGCTTTGGAGCCTGTCCTGGAACTAGCTCTTGTAGACCAGGCTGGCCTCGAACTCACAGAGATCCACCTGCTTCTGCCTCCCGAGAGCTGGGATTAAAGGTGTGCGCCACCACCGCCTGGCTGTTTAATTTTTTAAAAAATATTTTAGAGGCAGTTTCTCTTGTAGCCCTCCTGTCCTGGAACTCACTCTGCAGACCAGGCTGGCACTGAACTCAGATAATCCACCTGCATCAACCTCCTGAGTGGTGAGGGCAACCCCCTCCAGCTGATTATTTTATTATTTGCAGTTTTTGCTTTGAGTCCATTTGTTCTTGTCTGGTGCTCGAGGAGGAGGGTGTTGAGTCTTCTTGAACTAGAGTTAACAGTCTACCACCTATGTGAGTGCTGGGAATTGAACCCTGGTCCTTTGGGAGAAGAATAAGCACTCTGCTGAACGATTTGATACTTGAGTCTTGAAATAGGGTTGACTGAGCAGCATTGGTGCAAGAGCTGTATTGATATTCTAGGAGTGTACAATCGCTTTTTTGTGGGGGGTCATTGTGCTCCTCCCCATGCCAACTAAGCCATATTCCCAGTTTTTTTCTTTTTCTTTTTTTTTTTTTAAGAGAGAAAGAAAATGGTGTGGGTAGTGTCTCTCTACTTGGCCCTTACTGTCCTGGTGACCTGGACCTCACAGATGAATCTTTCCTGTTCTGGGATTAAAGTGTTCTTGTTCCGTGGCTTCCTAATCGGCGGATCCTTTGTCTCCTAGACTTCCCTGTATTGCTGAGAGAAAAGAGTGATGTGGTCACAGGACTTGTATGTACCAGGGAAAGACCTAACATACGTCCCCATCTCTCCCTTCTCAGTGCGGAAAGAACCTGCTCAGTAGTGTTTGGGGCGTGACTTGAAGTCTGTGTTGAGGGCCTAGTTGCATTTATAGGGAGTTTTTTAAATCTCTTATGTTTGAGCGGCTTACCTACAAAGGGGTGTGTCTGTGTGTGTGGTGTGTGATGTACATGTGGTGCCCACAGGTGTGAGGTGGGCATTAGATCCCCTGGAACTGGAGTTACAGTTGGGAGCTGCCATGTGGGTGCTGGGAGTCCAGTGCAGGATCAACCAGTGCCCTCAACTGGTGAGCCATCTCTCCAGTCCCTTGATAAACGTATAAGTCTGGGACTTGGGACTTGGTGCCTTGGCTGTTGTCCCGTCCCTTCCCTCAGCCACACAAGCCTCATGATGTACCATCCTGTCACTTGGTCCAAAATCAATGACACTTGAGAGTTTTATTAAGGCTGTGCTAGATTGAACTTGGCAGTCACATCAGTCAAAACCGTGGCAGTGCTGGGTTGTGGTGCGGTGCTTGGTGCTTCCCCAGCGTGCGAGGGTTGACTCCGTAGTTACTCCCCCCCCCATGTGTGTAGATCCTGCACTGGGGAAGAAGAGGCAGAAGGATGAGGTTCAGGCTGGCTTGTGTGAGGCTCTCAGAAAAGAACATTGAAGACTCGATCTAGGCCCCGTGTGTAAGATGGCTCAGCTGGTTAAGATTCAATTGGCCTTGTCCAATCTCTGGATCCCAGGGGGTGGAGGAGAGAACCAGTTCCACAAGTTGTCCTGACTTCCATGCGTGGAACTGCACAAGCAAACCCGTCCATGTGGCCACAGACGACAGAGAAATGATAAAGGGAGAAAGGATTCAGAACCCCGAACAGCAGGTGTTGAAGGCATTGCTTTTGCACTGTCTTAACATTGCGAAGGATCAAGTGGAAGACTCCTCGCTGGAGTCTTCTGTGTTTAATGCCTAGGAGTCGAAAGGCTGCAGATGGAGGAGCGTGGCTGGAGGCTCCCTTTTTGTGTGTGTGTGTGTTTTTTTTTTGTTTGTTTGTTTGTTTTGTTTTTTGAAGGCAGGGTTTCTCTGGGTAACCCTGGCTGTCCTGGAACTCACTCTGTAGACCAGGTGGTCTTGTACTCCTAGAGATCTGGCTGCCTCTGCCTCCCAAGTGCTATAGTTAAAGGTCCCCAAGGTCCAGCTCCCAGACTGACTTTGAACTCGCGATCTTTCTGCCTCAGCCTCCCAGGTACCTGATAGCACAGGCTTGTCTACTCTGGGGTGGCTTGGTGTTGTCCTGTTAGCAACACTTTTAAACTTCTGCTAGCCCTGGATGTTGGGTGCTCATTGCCTGGGCTGAAATGTGATTTACTGTCTTCCATTTTGCTTGGGTCTTGGAGGAGCTCAAGTAGGATTTGACCCAGTTCCAGTGTCCTTGGAATTGGTTGTCCTCTATTGGCTTTTCCCGGGCTCGGTGGGGATTGGTTTAACAAACCATCTAGTAGTGGCACGTGGCTGTAATCCTAGCACCTGGAAACTGAGGCGGGATTGCTGTGAGTTCAATGCTAACCTGAACTACAAAGTAAGATCCTATAATAAAATAGCTGTGTATCCGTTATTGCTGCAACTCTACAGGTCGGTTGAAGCCGTTGATTCGTTCTCACAGGTGTGGAAAGTCTGAATTGAGGTGACAGGGTTTCTCCTGGAGGCTCTGGGGAACTGATAAGGTTCCTATGGGTGGTTTCAGTAGTTCCTAGTGAAGCCCCTCGACTCCATCTCTTCCTTGGCCTTCCTGAAGCCCCATTCTCTGTGACTCTCTTGCTGGTCCCTAGTCTTCCTCTTAGTGATGCTAGACACCGAGCCTAGTGTGTTTGCCAAAGACCCCGTTCAGTTCCCAGTCCATGACTTTGAGGTTCAGGTCTCCAAGTCTCTTGTTGACATCATTCCCCCCTAGGTGTTACTTCCCTTCCTTCCTTCCTTCCTTCCTTCCTTCCTTCCTTCCTTCCTTTTTTTCTTTTACAAAAAATGCCAGTCATAGAACAGATCTTTCTTTTTAAGTAAAATCACCTTATTATTAACTCACAAATGAAACATCACACAGTTTAAGGAAACCACTCAATACCTGCCTAGTCCCAAACCCTATTCATCTCAATGACTGTCTATGCCATCATAATGTCCCTTCTGAAGCTCATTTACACACACACCTGCATGTATGTATATGCGCCACATGCTTTCCTAGGGCCCTCGGGTCCAAAGAAGGCATCAGATTTTCTGGAACTGTAGGTACAGGTGGTTGTGAGGTACCGCGTGGGTGCTGAGAACCAAACCCCAGTCCTCTGCAAGAGCAGCAAATGCTCTTAACCTGAGTCATTACTCCATACTATACTAGATACAGCATATTTAGTAATTATTTGAAATTTAGTTCCTACTCCCTTAACAATTCCTGGATTCGGTCCATGCCCATCCCCGTTTCCTTTACTCCACTTCCTCTCCAGCATAATCCGTCATTGGTGTTTTTAATCAGAGCCATTCTGACTGGTGTTCAGATGGTTTCTCAGCAGACTCCTGTAATCCCAGCCCTCTCTGGAAGTAGAGGCAGGGAGGATTAGGAATTCAAAGCTAGTCTCAGCTACAAAGCAGGTTTGGGGCGGCCTGGGCCTCTTTAAAAAAAAACAACTCCATCTAGACAAAGTTGTGCACCCTGACAGGCATGGGGTGTGAGGCTTGGTGGTGTCTTGTAGGGAGGCATAATTCCTTACACCCTGTTTAGGTCATTCAGACTGTAGGCACTTGGTCCCTTATACAGTCTTCCTGAATCAGGGCCGTTGGTAAGGGAGGTCTGTCTGTCAGTCACTTCATTCCGCGTCCCTTTGCAGGGCAGAGTGCTTACTCTTTCTCTCCTCGCCCAGGTGTTCCAGTGAACTCCCCAGGGAATGGCGATGAGGTGATGGAGGATGCGGCCCTGGTGAAGCGCCCCCGGCGGGAGGAGACTCACATCTGTGATAAGTGTTGTGCCGAGTTCTTCAGTTTCTCAGAGTTCCTGGAACACAAGAAAAGTTGCACCAAAAATCCTCCTGTCCTCATCATGAATGACAGTGAGGGGCCAGTGCCTTCAGACGACTTCCCCAGAGCTGTCCTGAGCCACCAGCCAGACAGCCCAAGCAATAAGGACAGTCACCAAGACAACAGCTGCAACTCTGGGGACTCGAAGGAAAAGCTGGGCCCGGACTCCATCCTGTACTTAAAGACAGAGACTGCCCTGCCACCTGCACCCCAGGACATAAGCTATTTACCCAAAGGCAAAGTGGCCAACACCAACGTGACTCTGCAGGCGCTCCGTGGTACCAAGGTGGCAGTGAACCAGCGGAGTGTGGATGCCCCTGCAGCACCCGTGCCGGCTGCCCACAGCATCCCGTGGGTCCTGGAGCAGATCCTATGTCTGCAGCAGCAGCAGCTCCAGCAGATCCAACTCACAGAACAAATCCGCGTCCAGGTGAACATGTGGGCCGCACATGCCCTCCACTCCGGAGTGGCCGGCGCGGACACTCTGAAGGCCTTGAGCAACCATGTGTCTCAGCAGGTGTCCGTGTCCCAGCAGGTGTCTGCCGCTGTGGCCCTGCTCAGCCAGAAATCCTCAAACCCGGCCCTGTCTCTAGAGGCCTTGAAACCAGCCAAACTACCTCATGCCAGTGTCCCCTCTCCAGCCAGCTCCCTGTCCTCGGGGTTTTCCCCCTTCGCCTTGAAGCCAGATGGGACTCGGGTTCTCCCCAACTTCATGTCTCGCCTCCCAAGTGCCCTGCTACCTCAAAGCCCGGGCTCTGTGCTTCTTCAGAGCCCCTTCTCCACTGTGGCACTCGACCCATCCAAGAAAGGAAAAGGGAAGCCCCCAAACGGCTCTCTGTCTGCGTCTGCGTTGGACGCCAAGCCCAAGGACGAAGCCCTCCTCGGCAAGCACAAGTGTAAGTACTGTAGCAAGGTTTTCGGGACCGATAGCTCCCTGCAGATCCACCTCCGCTCCCACACCGGAGAGAGACCTTACGTGTGCTCTGTCTGTGGTCACCGATTCACCACCAAGGGCAACCTCAAGGTACACTTCCATCGACACCCTCAGGTGAAGGCAAACCCGCAGCTGTTTGCTGAATTCCAGGACAAAGTGACAGCAGGCACCGGCCCCCCCTATGCACTCTCTGTCCCCATTCCTGTAGATGAATCGAGTCTCTCTGTAGACACCGAGCCTGTCCATGTCTCGGGAACCCCTCCCATAGGGCTACCTCAGAAGCTTCCTCAGGGGCCTAATCCCAAGGACCTCATGGGTGGCTCCTTGCCCAATGACGTGCAGCCGGGGCCTTCTCCAGAAAGTGAGGTGGGACATCCACTACTTGGGGTGGGACTGGCGCACAATACCCCAAGGGTTGGGAGCTTCCAGGGGAGTGGGACCCCGGAGTCAGGATCAGAGACTCTGAAATTGCAGCAACTCGTGGAGAACATTGACAAGACCACTGCCGACCCCAACGAATGTCTCATTTGTCACCGGGTACTCAGCTGTCAGAGTTCCCTCAAGATGCATTACCGGACCCACACAGGGGAGAGACCCTTCCAGTGTAAGGTCTGTGGCCGGGCCTTCTCCACCAAAGGCAACCTGAAGACACACCTTGGGGTTCACCGAACCAACAGCACCGCCATAAAGACGCAACATTCGTGCCCCATCTGCCAGAAGAAGTTCACCAACGCCGTCCTGTTACAGCAGCACATCCGAATGCATATGGGTGGCCAGATCCCTAACACGCCCCTGCCAGAAAGCCCCTGTGACTTTACCGGTCCTGAGCCCATGGTCTTGGTTGAGAATGGCAATGCCAGTGCTCTTGGCCAGGAAGACGCGGTGGAAAGGATTGGAGCGGATGGCGTCTGTTCCCAGGATGTCCCCAGTGGCTCCGCCAAGGTTTCCGCATCAGTTCCCAGTACCCACCTGGTGTCACCCATTCTGGGCTTTTCTATGATGGCTTCCCTGGATAATCAGGGGAAAGGGGCTCCTCCCTCTCTGGTCCTGCAGCGACAGAGCAGCCGAGAAAACGGCTCAGTGGAGAGTGACAACTGCCTGACCAATGACTCGTCCTTACTCGTGGGTGACCAGGAATGTCAGAGCCGAAGCCCAGAAGCCGCGGAAAGCATGTGCTTCCAGGCAGTGTCCCCTGCCAATAGCCAAGCAGAAAGTGTCAAGTCCCGGTCTCCTGAGGTGACCAAGACCGAGGGCATCGAGAGGATTGACATGGAAGGTGATGCAGCTTTGGATTTCACTTACTGTCCCCTTTGGGCTCAAGGTCACCAGAAAAAGAGCCTGGGTTGAACTTGACAGTGTGACTTGAAGCAGTTTCTATAGGGCAATTAGCTATTCTGTACTTCTGGGTAGAGGGCTCTGATAATTGCCTCTGGCCTAGTACTTGGTAGACTCTTATCACGGGTCATGTGGACAACATGGATGTTGGGTTTGTCTTTTTTTTTTTTTTTTTTTCCTCTCTTGACCCCATGGGTAGGTATATTTGAGGAAGTAGGCACTGTTTGGGCCATGAAAATCAAGCAGTTGTTGCTTGGAACTGAGGGTCCAGTTCTGAAACACAGTGTTCATGTATGAAGACAATACCTTGTGTTAGATGCGTCAGGTGATGTCCATTGATCCAGAATACCTCATTAGAACCACAGAAAATGCCTAGGTTTGGTGTGACACTGACTTCATTGCACTGCTGGGATTTTAACCTAGGCTAGCCCTTCTCTGGTCCACAGCCCCCCAGCCTTCATTTGATGTTTTTCTTTTCAGATAAGGTATCACTATGTAGACCAGAATGACTTCAGACTTGATCAGTCTGCCTTCTCGCCTCTTAAGTGCTGGGATAGAAGGCATGCACCACCATATCTGACTTTTTTTTCAGGAGTTTGGGGAAGATACCAGCCTGAATTCATTCTACAGTCAAGGCAAACCTTGGACTCAGATCCTCCTGCCTCTACTTCCCAACGAAGTAGCTGAGATGATATCTGATTCCAAGACTTGAATGTTATCTGCACACATACTTCTGTTACCTTTACTTTAAACCAGAAAAAGGGCAAATTTTCCTAAATGTTTGAGTTTTGTTTTCTATGTAAATAAGAACTCAAAAAGGTTAGCTTGGTGATTGGTTAAGCACTTGCCACTGAGTTCAGGTCTCCATGTAAAAAGGCCAGGCATGCTGGGCTGTGTTTGTAACTGGTGTTGGCTGGTGGGAGAAAGGCAGATCACTAAGCTTGTGGGCCTGTAGTCTAGCTAGCTCCCCTGCTGATATTCTAGACCCATTAGAGACCCTGTCTCAAAGAGCTGATTGCCAACAGGAACAACACCAAGGCTGCCGTTGAACTTCCACACTGGCATGTACACATATACACACGCTGAAAAACTTGTAAGCAAGCTGCTATTGAACTGTGATTTACATGAGCTACTCAACTCACTTAGCAGACAGTTGTTGTGGAGGGTTTGTCAGTGAGTTGGGTATTAGATGACAAAAGTTGATCTCTTTCCGCCTCTCCATTAGGTCGCACCAGCATCCCGTCAACGTTTCTCCGAGCCCAGCCCACCTATGTCAAAGTTGAAGTTCCCAGCACCTTTGTGGGACCCTCCAGCATGTCCTCAGGCATGGCACCTTTGCTCGCAGCACAGCCGCGCCGACAGGCCAAGCAACACTGCTGCACACGCTGTGGGAAGAACTTCTCATCTGCCAGCGCCCTTCAGATCCACGAGCGGACACACACAGGCGAGAAACCCTTTGTCTGCAACATCTGTGGGAGAGCCTTCACCACTAAAGGCAACCTGAAGGTGGGTTCTGATGGGGGCGCTGGCCAAAGATGTTCCTCTCCTCTTTACCCAGTACATGTACAAAAATCCTCTCGAACTGTCAGATACCTGAATTTATTTTCTGGCTTGATACAAGGTCTTACTATGTAGCCCAGGCTGCCTATGAACTCAAGGCCCTCCTCCTTCTCAAACTTGTCTACCACCCCTGGTCCAGTTTTTAAGAAAAAGAATATTATGAAGGTTGGATGGTGCACACTTTATGGAGGTGAACGCCCATGTGGCGTTTGATTTAGGTTTTCGAACAGGCAGGGGACTCTATCTGATGAAACCCTCTCTTTGCTGTTCCCCCAACAGGTACACTACATGACGCATGGGGCCAACAATAACTCTGCCCGCCGGGGCAGGAAGCTAGCCATAGAGAACAGCATGGCTGTGCTAGGCGCCGAGGGAAAGAGAGTGCCCGAGATGTTCCCTAAGGAACTCCTTCCCCCGGCGGCACCGGCACCGGCACCGGCACCGGCACCAGCACCGGTGAGTGTGGACCCCACCACGTGGAACCAGTATACCAGCATCCTCAACGGGGGCCTGGCCATGAAGACCAATGAGATCTCTGTGATCCAGAGCGGAGGCATCCCCACCCTGCCGGTGTCCCTGGGGGCCAGCTCTGTGGTGAGCAACGCCACACTTTCCAAGCTTGATGGTTCTCAGTCTGCTGTGGGTGGGAACGTGGAGAAGCCCGCTGTTCCCGATGGTGTGGCCAAGCACCAGTTTCCCCACTTTCTGGAAGAAAACAAGATCGCAGTCAGCTAAGGGGGTGGGGGTGGGGGGCGTGCAGCTGAGGAGAGATTTGCTTCCTTTAGTTTCCTTGACCATCTCCTGCTTCCCTTCCTGATACACAAGCGATGTTTATGATGTTTACGCTTGTGACCACAGCCTTGGGCAGTCCTACAATCTCATCGTATCTTGCTGCTTTCCAAAAAAGAAAAAAAGAAGCCAAAAAAAAGAAAAAAAGAAAATTGAAAAATGGGGAAAAAAAAGCCACCAAAACAGACTTAAGTTTTGCAAAGAAGCGGGTTTTGAAGAGTAGCTTTGTTCCTTGGGACAAACTGTATGCTAGAAGCTTTGTGTGACCTCGTGGCTGTTTCCAAAGACCGTCACCTGTATCTAAGTGAAGCAGTTGGGGCAGTTGGCCCACAGTGGAAGTGACAGCTCACCTCAATCCAGGGGAGAGGGTGCTGTGTGCTTCCACAGCGACTAATGCGGGTAATGGACATCTTTGTGGGGACCTGGCTTATCTGCCTCCCGACCTTGTATTCTCATTTTCTGTTTGTGAATGTTCTTTCAGAGAAAGGAGGAAGAAGCCTCATAACTAAGGTGGTCCAGTTAGCCCACTCCTTGAACCTAGACCCTTTGTACGACGCCCCTCCACAAGCCCCTAGAGAGCCCTACACTTGCTCTGCTGCTTATTTAAAAGGTTTGGAGCCCCAGGAGTGCCACCCGCTCCCCATTTCTCCCACAAATCACCTTCTTCCCAGACCCTGGAGTGGATGGGGTCCAGAGCGGGCACCTCAGGTGATTTCATGGGGCTCTTCAGTGCCCGTTGCATTGTGGGACTGCAGTTCCCTCCTCCGGGACCCGGCGAGTCTCATGCAGCTCCTCGCTTTCTGTTGTTTGAATTTCCTTGTCCCCAGTCTTGAAGACTTTTCACACCACCCGCCCTCTTGTGAAGGTTATAATGTTGAGACAGGCAAGTCTTGGGTGTGAGGACTTTTAATTTATCTACCTCATTTATTTTTATTTTTGTAGCCAAAAAGTCTGTTTTGCTATTTGGTGACCGCAAAGTATTCCCTGGTCTTAAAACCTAAGAGTTAATGTGATGAGAAGGGCCAGATGTTCAGGATGTCCCCATGGTTGGTGCTGTGCCATTTTCTTTTTTTTTTTTTAAATTACATTTTTTTGTGCGTATAATAATTTTGAGCAGCTGTTGTAACAGTGTTCTGATGGTTTAATGGGGGAGGAGGGACTTTTCAGTAGCTCCTGGGTAGATGTCTTCCTGCCCTGTGGAATGCCATTGCCAAAATGAGGAAGGAGGCTCGTCCGCCAGTTTCCTTTCCTCTGTTGTTGCACCTGATTTTAGGATCCAAAACTTTTTTTTTTTTTTTTTGCCAAGTTGTGCCTTTCCTTCTGGGATTGTACGTGAACCCTGTGATAAAGTGTTCGCTGGTTTTCCTGTTCAGCTGTTTACACTGTGAAGTGAATATTATTACAGAGAACACACCAGCCGTGGCTTTCTCACACCCTGTGAATGAATGTGTGAACTACGCTGTAGTTTTACCTGCTGAAGCTGTCTGTCCGAAAATAAACTTTGAATGTTTTTTTTTTCTCCCACCACGTTTGTGTGTAAGTTTTTTTTACCCCCCCTCTGGTATGTTCTGCTGGCATAGCACTCCCCTGTCCCTTAAGAGTCAGAAGTGCATGTGGTTGGGTCCATCCTGGACCTCTGTGTGTGGGGTGGTGCGGGGGCATAGAGTCTGCCTGCTGCTTGGTGCCTCCTTTTCCTGGGTGTGTGTGAGTGTTGAGTGTCATTCCTTAGGTACTGTGTCCACCTTGGATGTATTCATTTTGCAGTGTGTAGAGGCTAAAGGGTCACTTGTTGGATTCTCTCCACTGGTAGGTTCTGGGGATTGAACTCAGGTCATCAGACCTGGCAAGTATCTTGCCACACCTGTCTTATTTTGTTTTTTGTTTATTTTGTTTTGTTTTTGAGATGGCATCTTTTGTAGCACAGATTGGAGTATGATCTATGATACTTAATTCTTAAATCCTGATAACAATGGTTATTCAGATGATAAGGACTGGGGACAGAATTCCCGGCTTTGGCAGCAGAAGGTGGGTGGGTGGGTGGTGGAAGTGGGCCCTTGCTGTCCGTGGAGCTGTTCTGTGTTCTTGTATTGTGTCCATATATGTACCTTATTTATTTATTTATTTTTGGTAGGCATGGTTTCTCTGAGTAGCTTTGGTTCTCCTGAATTGTAGACCAGACTGGCCTTGAACTCAGATCCACCAGTCTCTGCCTCCTGAGGGCAGGGATGAGAGGTGTGTGCTGCTGCTGTCCAGCGGTTGTCGTCCTACAAGGGGCTATGCCAGTGGAGACTGCTCCTTTCTAAGGTCCCGTCACCTTCCAAGTTGGCATCTAAACAAAACCATGGGCTAGGTTTTGGGGCCACCGGTTTTCCAGAAGGAAAGGGAATGGGCTGGTTTTCAGAGGTCACCCAGTCTTACCTAAAAAGACTGCTGTAGGGGGTATGCTTTGGACTTTCTGGATGATTCTAAGCAACAAAATAACAATGTTGGAAGAGTAAAGCTAGTGAATTGACCCGTCACAGGTCATCATTGAAGTGTGGAGACCTTAAAACTTGGCCAAAAGGATGGGCAGCTTGCACATTTTTATTTTAATGAACAAAGCTCTGGGAAAAACAGCCCCCAGCATAGCAAACAACAGCAGATACCAAAATCTAAAAATCTGCATTCTAATACTAAAATGTATGTGACCTTTTTTGGGATAGAAATCAACTTATAACAAATTGGACTAGTCCCTGTCTTATCTGTGCTCCCCACCCTTCGGCCCCTAGGCTAAGCAGAACTCTCAGACTGCTAGCTGTGTTGAAATGAATTTACAGACAGGCATAGCTGATATCCACAGGGCAAGCCCTCAGCTGATGGGGCCATCTGCATTTCCATCACAGTTCTTTGTTATTAACAAAAGAGCTCAAAGCTAATTCAGGTCTAGGTCACTGTGAAGGGTGGGTTGGAAGGACCTCCAGTCATCTCAAGGTCTTCAGTGACTTTCTGGTAGTCACCTTGACTAGTATCTCATATCTCAGTCCCAGGACTGTTCCAACCCTTAGAACTACTGAGATGGAATCTTTCTTGGTTTCTCCTGTACTTCCTGGAACACTTTCTGGAAAGAGCACTATTAAATGCTAGTTTAGAGCCAGGTGTGAGCCCACACCCACAATCCCAGCACGGGGAATAGAGGAAAAAGAAAAAAGGATGACTTCAAGACCAACCTGGCTCCATCCTAGTTTTGTGGTGTGGCCTAGGAGACAATGCTTTCCAGCAATAAAAGCGGGGCCGGGATTGGGTTATTGACATTGGCTGTGTTCCATACCTCTGTTCCTAGTCCTAGACAGAAAGGAGTTCGAGGCCAACGTGGGACCCTGGCAGTGGTGCACAGGCTACACAGAGAAACCCTATCTCTCTCTCAAAAAAAAAAGTAAAAGACATTAAAAAAAAAAAAAAAAACCTCAACTTTTTGTGCCTGACTTTGGTTTCACTGTGCAGCCCAGACTGGCCCAGAAATTTTAGCAATCCTGATTCAGCCTCCCAAGTATGAGGGTTTCAGGAGCGAGCCCCCATGCCTACCTGAACTGCTTTCTGGTGTTTTAAGATACATTTATTGCCAGGCGGTGGTGGCTCTCGCCTTCAGTCTCAGCACTTGGGAGGCAGAGGTGGGTGGATCTCTGTGAGTTCGAGGCCAGCCTGCTCTACAAGAGCTAGTTCCAGGAGAGCAAGGACTGTTGCAGAGAAAAAAAACTGTCTCAAAAAACCAAAACATTTATCATTTATTGCCAGGTGTATTGTTGAATGCTTTTAATGCCAGCACTCAGCTTGGTCTACAGGGTCTGCAGAGTGAGTTCCAGGACAGCTAAGGCTGCACAGAGAAACCCTGTACTCCTGGAACTCACAGAGATCTGCCTGCATTTACCTCCTAAATCTGGGATTAAAGGCAAGCCTAGCCCCAAACGTTTTACAACGTTGCACTTACTGTGTGTGAGCATTTGAGGGTGTGCGTGAGCCACTTGTGTGTGTGTGTATGTGTCTGTGTAGGTCAGAGGAAACTCAAGGCAGCTGAGTCTCCTACCATGTAGACCCTGGAGATTGAACTCCGGTCCTTAGGCTTGGTGGCAAACACCTTTAACTGCTGAGCCATCTAGCCCGCCATCATTTCTATATTTGTGTGTTTTTTGTGTGCGCGTGCACTGGCACACACATACCCTTGGGCATGGGGTGGGTCAGAGGGTAACTTAGGAGTCAGTTTTCAGTTCTACCTTTATCTGTGCTTGGGACCCAGATGGCTGGACTGGTGTGAGTAGTGCCTTTACCCCCTAAACCATCTCACAATCCAAAGACTTGATTGACTCTGAGTTCCCGTGTTCCCTGTCTCCTTCATCTTTCCAGTGGCCGTGCATCCTCACAGAGATGTAAGCAGCCCACAGTTTAGGGTCCACTATGAACTTGAGCTTCTGTGACCTTGAACCAAGAGACTCAGGTATAGACTGGTCCACACCTCTTGCTATCCATGGAAGATGTCATGTGAACCCCATGGCTGGTGTTTCTGGACCAGATTGCCTTATTCAAGGATCTTTCTAGGCACCCTGGAGTCAAGGGCATCCTGCACCCAAGTCCTGTTGAATGGACAGGGCTGTCATGAATCCCTAAAAGGGCAGTGGTGAGAAGGCAGAGCTGGGCCAAGAAGGTCCAGCGATCCTGACGTAGATCCCCCAGTACACAGCCCTGTGTCATGCTGCTCTCCCTCTCTTAGCTGTGGGCCCATTCGGTACATACGATAGCATAGAAAAAGACTCTTGGGGGTTGGGGCTGTAGCTCAGTTGCCAGTGTGCTGGCCAAGCATGCTTAGCCAGGATTGCATCCGTGGTAGCGCATAAACTAGGCCTAGTGGCTTATTATACCTGTTAGCCCAGTTAGAAGCAGAAGGGTCAGAAGTTCAAGATTGTCCTTAACTACGTCGGGAGTTCGAGACCAGCCTGAGATATATGAGGCCTTGTCTCCAAAAAAAGAAAAAAAGACCCTTGATGTCTGTAACCATAAATGATGGTATTACGTTTCATATTATACTGACTGCCTGAAGAAATCCTGTTTCTCTCCTGTCTAGTGGAAACATGTGCTTGCTTCTGAACTAAAAGGCTTTTCATTATTAGGGTGGTTGTTTTTTGAGAGAGGGTCTCCCCGTGTAGCCAAGGATAGCTTCCACCTCACTGCAAGCCCACTGAGTTAGCCTCTGTATGCTCACACCACTAGGACCAGTTGCTACAGTCTTTAAATGTCTTTCTCCATGAGAGATTGTCCTATTGGAAGGAAGCTTAAAAGAAAAAGTAGGTTTTAGGCCAGGCTTGTATTTAATTCTGGCAGGGAGATTGGGAATTTGAGGCTAGCCTGGGCTACCTATGGAGACTGCATTTCAAACACACACAGGCACCTTCTTGCTGCCCAGGAGCCTTGCCCACACAGTGCTCCTGGCATGCACACTGGCCCTGAACTACTTCCAGCTAGCTCTCCGAGTCCAGAACTGTCCTGAGCTCTCTTTCTGACAAAGAAATAGACGGTCTCAGAGGATGTAGCTTGCTGGGAAATTTCACAGGTGGAAGGAGCTGGAAGCTTACAGGAGCCTGGCTCACCAGCTGCTCTCACCCAGTGCCCATCCAGGTGGAGGCAGCTATAGGCGGCTCCGGGAGGCTAGGGAGAGCATGTGTGTATGTCCAGCCGCCATGGCTCGGTGCTGGTTCTGCTGTGACCAAAGGCCCTGTTTCCTGATTGTTCTCAGTGTGAAAGGCCGGACCTTGGAACCCAGCCCTGCTCCCTGATGACCTCATGGTTTTGTGCTGAGTTTCTCTGCCTCACTCATGAGTTTTTTGGATTTAGTGGGCAGGGCTGCTGGGACATCTACAAACTTTAGGCTAGAGCTAAAATCAACTAGAAGTCTCTTTGACTGGGTAGTGCACGCCTTTAATCCCAGCTCTCGGGAGGCAGAGGCAGGTGGATCTCTGAGTTTGAGGCCAGCCTGGTCTACAGAGTGAGTTACAGGCCAGCTAGGGCTGCATTGTGAGACCCTGTCTGAGAAGGTGGGGACCGATGGGAAATGGGGAGAGAAT